ATCCCTTCTCTGCTATAATTAGTTTTTGACTTTACCAAAACCTCGAGGCCAGATCTCAACCAGCCAATCAGAACTCACCTCATATGTAAATGAGCTGTACTGAGTGTGTCTAAATAGTTTGCTTATTCCGAGACCTGCAGCTCTGGGGCATCCCCCTCCATAATGTGTGAGCCGACTAGTCTACAACTTCATGCACTGCAGACCTATACACTAAGCCTGCTTTTCTCCTTATGGTCTAAAAAATAAGTTGGTGCAGATATATTTTGTAGGTTACATGTAGCTTTACACAAAGTTACTGGAAGACCTATTTAACTGTTATTTGTGGTTAAACAATAGGTAACTCTTGTTTATCACTTCCCCCTTCGTAGCCGTGACTAATAACTGAAACTGTGTGAGCCTGTAATGTGGGTTAAATGATAAAGTAAACATCAAACATGGGCATCGTGCTCAATCCGTTTCAAGCAGAATTTGGAGTAATCATCTCTGGGCAATTTTTGTTTTGACTAGAAATGGCAAGTCACCCTAAACTTTCCTTCACCTCGTATTTTATCTTTTATTGCATATACATAAATGAAGCTATAATTAAAGCATAGAAAAAAAAGAAATAGAACAATGTGTGTCCCTATAAAGAATAGATAGGATACTTTAAAAATCTTGAAGATACTTTATTGAATAAACAAAAACGAAAAAACCAACTAAAACAAAGAGTACACGAAAAAATGAGTATAATAGTAACAAGTACTTGTGAGAAAGAAAATACAGCCTGAAGCAATAGGATACAAAGCCAAGAAGTGGTATCGGATCCCAACAATATCAAGCTCTGCAGAGCCGTACCTATAGCTAGAAAAATGTTTTGCAATGATATAACTCAACGTCTCAAATTAAGCGCTAACGTCGGATACAATGCAAGCACATTAGTATGTCCAAATCGGCATGAAACAAAGTACCCTCGCTAGATGCAAACAAAAAATAAGACTGAATAATAAATGATAAGATTGCAATCTGTAAATCAGTAGCTGTAGCCAAAGACGTGTTAGCAACTGTGTAACTAACCTGTTGCTATACTATAATGAAGCAACTAGAGTATAAAGCTAACAATAAGATACAGTGTTGAGAAATCTATTAAAGCTATTCTAGGCTGCAAATAAAGAAAAGAATGGTTGCCAAAAATCACCCGATAGTCTCCTAATGCTAAGCTCCCTAAAAGTGGGGGAAGGCTTAGACTGGGCGTCAAGAAAAGCTCTAAAGTGAAGAGATAGACTAAGAGGTGAAATAGTCGGAATAGTGCCTTCGTGGGCACCTAGTATAGTAAAGAGGTAGAAAAGGAAATACAAGATACCGTACTAAAACAAAAATACAAAATAATAAATGATAACTAACAATGAGAAATAAATACTCTTTAAAGGAAAACCGAAAATGTATTTTAACCGTATTGAGATATAACTTCAATACATTACACCCTGATCGGTTACCGCTATGGTCTAATGGTCTAAGACTAATTGCCCTGTTAGACAAAGCACGGCGTTGAATAATATATTGGATCAAATTCAGAACAAACAATAAATAAATAAATGAAAACGCTGTGCGAACAGGGGCATCAGGTAAATAGAATCCCAACACGTGTTTCGCCTGTTTTAAAGGCTCGTCAGGGCGAAACGCAACCATTCTTTTCTTTATTTGCAGCCTAGAATAGCTTTAATAGATTTCTCAACACTGTATCTTATTGTTAGCTTTATACTCTAGTTGCTTCATTATAGTATAGCAACAGGTTAGTTACACAGTTGCTAACACGTCTTTGGCTACAGCTACTGATTTACAGATTGCAATCTTATCATTTATTATTCAGTCTTATTTTTTGTTTGCATCTAGCGAGGGTACTTTGTTTCATGCCGATTTGGACATACTAATGTGCTTGCATTGTATCCGACGTTAGCGCTTAATTTGAGACGTTGAGTTATATCATTGCAAAACATTTTTCTAGCTATAGGTACGGCTCTGCAGAGCTTGATATTGTTGGGATCCGATACCACTTCTTGGCTTTGTATCCTATTGCTTCAGGCTGTATTTTCTTTCTCACAAGTACTTGTTACTATTATACTCATTTTTTCGTGTACTCTTTGTTTTAGTTGGTTTTTTCATTTTTGTTTATTCAATAAAGTATCTTCGAGATTTTTAAAGTATCCTATCTATTCTTTATAGGGACACACATTGTTCTATTTCTTTTTTTCTATTACTTCATTAGGGTTACCCCCTGTTGTGTCCTTTAGGCTTTGTGGCCACTATTCTTTATTTATAATTAAAGCATTGCGCCATACCTAGAAATGGGCATATTTCACTGCGGAGAATGTTTTTATACACAGAATACTGTCCGTCAGCTGATCTGGAAGAAATAATGAAACCACATGAAGTGTGCCCAACCCAGGTAGTTAGTAGCCAATGTCTGCAGGGGCCAGTAAGTGATAATATTCACTGCACTGTGACAGCCTTGCTTTTTATTGGTCATTACATTAGACCAGTTTGGTCCTCGAAAACTAAATATAGAATGTCTTCAGCAGAGTTCATTGTTAGTGGCGGCTCTCGTCACCTGGAACGTTGACGTACCCTGTACAGTATAAAACATGTACATGACATTTCATTTTCAGACTAAATATAATACATGTCGGACATTGGCTCTTATTAAATAAGAAAGTATGGACACGTGTTTCTTTTGTGTTTTTTTTTATTCCTGTAGCCCAGTTATGTTACAGTCTGTTACACAGTTATGTTACAGTGCTGCCACCCACTGAGTGTTTGTGTCCTATTAAAGGTTAATTTGTTTGTAGAGGTTCAAAGGTAGACCTCTTTCTGTCTCTTTCGATTTGTCTATCAGTTGAAAGATTCCTTCAATAGTGTCATACAGATAAATGTGACATACATATACTGCAGGGGTTAATCTAAATTACATGCAGTCTTCCTGACAGCCACTAGAGACGCTTCTGCCACAAACTTGTTTTTTTACAGCTTACCTCCAATAGGGCACAGCACTACCGCTCATGCACTTTTTAGTCCCCAATGATATCCTATGAGGAGTTTCAGATTGGACAAGTGTTGGCGTGATATCATGGGAGGCAAATCAAGCTGCTGCATGGACCTGACCTCAGCGCTGGTAAAAACATTTTTCCCCACTTTTTATTTAGATTTTGGACTGGCCCTTTATCTAAGTAAAGAGGAGACAGACTTGTATTCCTAACTCTACAGCAGGCCCAGACTGGCCGTCGGGCATACCCGGCAAATGCCCGGTGGGCTGCGAAGGCCATGGGCCGAGGCCGACAGAGGAGATCAAGAGATCTCCCCTGCCGGCCCATGCAGAGCCTGCACTATCTGAGCATTGGCTTCACCTGCCAACAGGCACTTTACTGGACAGCCGGCAGGGGAGGGAGGAAGAGTGCGGAAGACCTGGGAGAGCTCTATTTTGCAGCTCCACCGTGTTCCTGTCGCAAGGTCGCAAGGTCATCTCACCACTATAACCACCAGGGATTTACCTCCACTGCGACCACCAGGGATTAAAGAGATTCCCCTCTATGTTCCTATCTGGGGATATGTTGAATATGGGGGTTCCAATCGGTATATTGGGAATTATGTATTTTAATGTGTTTTTACCATTCCTGTAAAATGGGGATATTCTCTATGCCTGGAGGTAATTGAGTTACTTCAGGGTAGAGAGGAGGAGTTGTACTGTTTGTGTGGGAGTATTTGCATTCTGTACTTGCACATGATTGGTTACTGTAAAAACTGTCTCAGTCTTCCACAAGGTCCCTATGGGAATGTCCTTTGCTGGAAGACCTGCATAAAAGGCTGACATGTAGCCCCCATTAAACAGATCCTGCTTGAACCTCAATACAGAGCCACGTCTCGTACTTGGGGGGATAATTTGTATGATTCCTGTTTGGCACTTAGGAGTGTTTGGTAGCTGACTTCGCATTCGGGAAAAAGAACAGCTTTGGCGGCATTAACCCCTTCACCTACTCGGGGTGCCGTTACACTAACCCCTACATACCAGGGAACACCCCAGAAGACTTGTCATTTTGGAGATGCTCTGACCCAGTCGTCTTGCCACCACTATTTGGCAATTGTCAAAGTCCCTCAGTTCTTTTCATTTTCCCTGCTTCCAACACATGAAATTCAAGAACAGATGGTTTCCTTGCTGCCTATATGTATCGCATCACTTGACAGGTGACATTGTAATGATATAATCAATAGTCACCTGGCATTGGTTTTAATGTTGAGTCTGAAGAGTATATATCCATACTATACCAGAGCCAGATTACCCATTAGGAGGCCAGGTGCTTTTATCCCCCTTCCACCAAAGATCTCCTTGCACAGCCCTTTAAAAAGTCTTTCCTAGTGGTCAGTGGTTTAATTCCGGTCAATATTATTTACTTCACCTGTCAGTGGTTTTAATGTTGTGGCTGATCAGTGTATAAAAGTTCCAATTTCTGTTGAAATCTGAGTTTTTGGCAAAATGAAAAAAAAAAAGACAAACTCTTCACACATGGTGTACTTCAGCAAGCTACCCATGAATCATAGTCATAAGCTCTGCCCTTTACACCAGAAGATCAGCATATAAAAGCATACACAGAAGATAAGAACGTCTATGTTTATATTTCTCTCTGCATGTGCAATGCATGCACTGACTGTGGCTAATATGAACTGAATTGTGATCTCATTTGTTAATGAGCCCCTTCTCTTCCTCAAACGCTCCCTGTCTCCATAGAATATATTTCAATTACTCTCTTTATGAATATCAGTAACACATACGGTACCAGTTCAAATGAAAAAAAAAAGGAATATTGTACGTATAATGAATGCGGTAAGTTAAGTCAATAACATATTATCCAATACCTTCATTGCTGCTTTTTAATTTAATTAAATATTAAAATGAATTAATAATGATATGACAAATATTTAAATTAAAGCCATGAGTTTTACACAATTAAAGCTAGTTTGTTTCTTTCCATCTGTTACCGAGATAAATAGATGTCAATTTCTTCCATTGGATCGACTTCAAATTCATTGGGCCAGACGCATGTACAACCAACAGTAACCCGTTTTGACTCCAGTTTGTACACATAGTCACAGTCTTTCTGTTCCCGGATGAGAACCATGATATCCTGCTGGATAGGAAGTGATATTAGCTCAGGGTTTTCATTCCCACTTGAATCTGTACAGACAGAACTTAGACAATTGGCTTCGGATATGACCATTGGGTATCTGTTGGGGTCCATGTCAAGACTGTAAGAAAAAAATAAAATATAATATATTAAGACTTTATGACAATAAAATACCAAGGATTTGGAAATAGCTTCTAGTGCTAAATGAGAAAATTATCCAGAAACTTATCTTAAAAATCATATACCTTATTCAGTTACCTCAATAAAATAAGGGTGCATGCAGGTTAAGAGCTTTTATTATATACTGTGTGTAAAATGTGAATTCTAGCATTCCTCTCCTAAATGATCAATGATATTGTTGTATTTGGGACAATTGGTACTACACTTAAGATGCCAAACCAGGAGGTCCAGGTACTTCCTTAAATGCTACCTGCTAATTCATGTCTATGTTTATTGTAGGTTTCTGCTGCTGTACACAAGTTGGAGAACTGCGAAACTAACAGGGTTATTCACTAAGGCTAGAATTGTTGTAATTCAAAGAGAATTTAACATCTAAGTATGATGATATTATTAATTTCAACAAGTGCTGAAAAGCAGGGTCAAAGTTATATTAAAATTGTACCCTCTTCCTAAGGTGAGTGAGTGCTAGTGTGGAGAGATACTTCAATCTGTACACACATATTATCTCAAGAAATGTTTTCAAGAGATAGAAACACTGGGTATATACCCAATTAAAAAAAAAGGAAAGCTTCTTTTTAAATCCCATGTGAACAGGTAGACATGTGCATTATTGATCCATATAGGTAGCAGATTTAATGGGGGAAATGAAAACCGAAATGAAAAGAGTTTCATTTATTTATTGCTCTTGTAATTTCCTTATTTGAATTCAAACAGAATTATAAATGCGGTATGGAATTTTATTTTGTTGCAGGGGAAAAGTACTAGAACATTGACAAGTCAACGATTAGGTGAGTAAAGTACAGAATTCTTCAAGCTACGACTTATGGACTCAGCAATGATGACCTACCTAAAATCCCAGGGAGCAAGAGACCGACTCTGAATGTCCATAATCTCTGACAGGTCGTCCATGGATGTAGTGTCAATGGCACTTATATCAAGATTTATTCTATGGGGCGGCCGCCTGAGTCTTCTCCCAGGACACCGGCTCTCAGAATACGATGAGAATTCTTTCTCCACGTTCTCTGCTAAGTACTCTTGTGGCAGAAAGGCCGATGTAGAAAATCCCATTAGAACAGATGCCTGAAACATAAGACAACTATTCAGCTCAGATGTGCAACACACATTTAATTTTTTTTTGCATACAATAAAGTCATATCTGTGAAGCATGTCTTATCTGCTCTTATCAGGTACAATGAATACAGAGAAAACAGGAAACCTCAGTGTTAAAAAAATGTACAAAATATAACCTGTAACCATAAGTCCACTGGCACACTATACAAAGCATGAAAATAAACCGGTTTTCAAATATATTTTAATGTAACATTATGTAATGAACTTTTCTTCTGACATAACCAAAAAAAAAATACAGATAAAAACCCCAAAACCCATTTGACTTTAACTAATGCATTGTTTACATGAAAGTTATAAACTTTAAAGGAGTTCTCGGAGTAAACATGAATCTATAATTAATTTTGAAATATTTTGGGTCTGTAACACAGGGCTTGTTTTGGAATTATTTTAGAGCTGTCTATCGCATTTGATGTTTTCAATAAATGTTTGATATTTATTTTAAGTGAACAATTTATATAAAATGTTTTGGGAAAAAAGGAATGAAAAAAAAAAAACTCACAAAAAACGTGAACTTTGTGACTTGGTTATAATCTAAAATTCTACATTTTTATCCTAAATCATGTTTTTTTAAAAAATCCCTATTATGGTTGAAAAACAAACAAAACCCTTTAAAAACTAGATGACTCGTATAAATTGCTGTTGCAGCGCTGGAAACCCCCTAGTCTCGAGAATACCTATTGAGAATGACTGTTTGCTGAAATGTCTGGGGCTTAAGTGCAGTGTGAATATATATGTAACAAACTCTATTCTGACCATTTTATCAGTTAACCTGTGTTTTATATCATGTTTTTGTGATGTAAAATACTTTTGTTATATGTTAATTGGATTTGTTAATTGGATTTAAAAAAAAATGTCTTTAGTTGCGTTTTGATAAAACATAATATGATAACATACAGTTTTACTATAACAAGTTAGGGGAGAATTATTATTGGAAAAATTTGCACCAGGGTTGATTTCTATTGAAAATGATTTACAGGAAATGCAAAAACTTAAAATCTGAGTATCTTTTTACTTTATTTGTTAATTATTTTTGTATTTTTAAAGCATTATTTTTGAAACACATTCAAATAGAATGATACCGCTCTAACACTGCATACTTTACACTAGAACGAAGCTGCTCTCTCAATCGTAAGATACCATCAGCTTGTTCATCTTTATGACATTAAATCATAGGTCAGGTCATTTTTCCACCTGTAGTTTAGAAATTCAGAAATATCATTTTCTTGAATGAGAAGCATGCAATACTGAAAAATGCATTACTTTCATCAGAAATGTAATCAAAACATACAAAGAAAAATGTTCACAATATACAAATACTATTATGAATTATCATATTACTTACCAGCAGTAAGTGTGTAAGTCTTCTAAAAGCCATTCTTGTCTATCTGATGTCTTCGGATCTGTTTCCAGAAAAGTTTGTCTGTCCAGACCAGAAGAGCCTTTTTATAGGAGAACTCATGATTAAAGGATTCCCCTGTATTATTGGTGTCTTTTCCAGTCGAGTTTCCCAGTTTATCTGCTCGTACTCTGCCAATAACTATGTTAAATTTCTAGATTTACGTTGTTATCACAATGTACCTAGATACGCAAAATGTAGTTTTTCTACATAAAACTTTCAGGGCAATAAACAACAGAGAAAAAGTCTAGATAATAATGATAAGCTGACAATCCCAATATATTATCTTGACTTAAAAGAGAAAGAAAGGGAACTTCTGGGAACACAATCTATAGAAGCAATCAAGGTGTGAGAAAACATAACGGCACAATTGTACAATCTTGTTTCTGTATATTTTACAATTTGTTTACTATATTTTTTGTATATTTCATTATGTAATTACTGATGCAATGAACATCTATAGCTGATCTTGTAGGCCTTCAAGCTGGTAAACCTTGTGAATATTATTCCACTCTGTTTTTTCCTGCGGCAGTTGTCTCAATATAAGACCTGGGATTTGCAAGTTTCTGGACTACTGTATTAAGTTAGATCGACAGTAGTAGCTAGCAAAACGTCTAATGAATCAGGTAGCTAAATTGTTAAAGAGATGTCAGTCAATGTACTTAATAGGAACACTATAGGGACAGGAACACAAACATGTAGTTAAAAAAACACTATTTAGCCTTTTGGACCCCACCTTGAACCCCTTAAATACAGTAAAAACGTACCTTTATTCCAGGTATCGGGGACTGGTCCTGCTCCCGATCTGCCTCTTTGGCTGACATCATCAGAATTTTAGAATCCTAAAAGAAAGTATTGAATTGACTGAGATTGTCAATTCTGATGATCTCAGCCAAAGAGGCCAGGTGGGGGGTGGAGCTGACTAATCAGCATCTCCTCATAGAGGAGTGGTGACGCTGAATTTCAGGGCTGCATTGTGCAGCACTGACCCTGGAACTACCTCTAGTAGCCATTTGAGTGACTGTCACTGGAGACGTCTCTAGAGTGCAATGTAAACGCTGCCTTTTCTCTGAAAATGCAGTGTTTACACTAAACTGCCTTCAGGGACAGGCTATACTCACCAGAACAACTACATTAAGCTGTAACTGTGCTGATGACTACAGTGTCTATTTAAATAAATTGAGGATGTATGCTGATGATGAAGAAACTGTTAGAATAATGATATGTTTAAGCATTTAAAGAGAAGATCCCACTTGTATAACCTCTGTATAAATATATAAAATGCTTTGTTCCTTGAGGGTTAGGTCAGACTGGTCCTCGAGCAAACTGGATAAATGCCGCTTGAGAATAATAATTTTTATTTGTGGATAACAAGTTATAGGCCAGCTGGGGAATTCTGTAAAAATGCCCAAGGTATTAATGCACCCTATGTTATAACCTCCTTCCACCTCCAGTTATATGATAGCCAGGCCGAGCTGGCTTGGCGTGATTCCTCCTGTGCTCATCCTGTACAGTGGTGAATCTTCTATCAAATATATTTTATTGAGTAACTTTTCAATTTTTTTTTAACAAAAGTAGAAAAAATTTATATAACAACATAAACATATAAAAAAATCAAACAAACAAAAAAAACAACCAGGACAAAAACATTTGTCCTATATAGTGCAAAGTACCTTTCCATTTTGTCTCACAATGAACTGATACAAACAAGGTATAACACATTAACTTAATAAAATAAAGCATGCAAAGTGCTTACTATGTGTTGGTGATATATATTATGCACTGCATATAAAGGTAAAGTATGGTGTAGAGCAGGGGTCCCCAACCCATGGGCCGCGGACAGTACCGGTCTGTGGCCTCTGTTCAGCCGGACCGTGGCGCTGTGATGAGACTCTCCCTGATGTATGCCTTCACGGACCGGAGGGGAGATCAGAGATCTCCCTCACTGGTCTGCAGGCACTGTGCTGGCAGCTGGCAGGGAAGGGAAAGAGGGTTCTCCAGAAGAACGGAGCGTTGCCACGGTTATTGTGGCAACGTTCCGGATCTCGCAAGAGTGAACTCTAACCCACAAGGCTAGAGTTCACTCTCATTACTAGAACTGCCAGGGATTCACCACGAGGACCACCAGGGCTTCATAATCGACATCCCCACTCCCTGGGCAAAGGTAAGAAGGGAGGGAGGATGTAAAGTATATTTATTTTTAATACAAAAAATCTAAACTTATATCAATAGATTTGTATGGATCTGCCCCCACACCCTCACATGATAACTCCATACACATTTACACACTGCCTCCCATACACACACTGCCTCCCATACACACACTACATCCCATACAAACACACTGCCCCAATACACACACTGCACCCACATACACACACACACACACACTTACACACACACATTGCCCCCCCATACACACACACTGCCCTCATACACACAGTGCACCCACATACACACACACTGCACCCACATACACACACACACTGCAGTCCATACACACACACTGCAAGTCTGCACCCCATACACACACACTGCCCCATACACACACTGCACCCCCATACACACACTGCACCCCATACACACACTAGTTGTATAACCATTTCATTATATATTAGGATATAATAATACTAATAGGTAAAAAGAATCAATTATCCTGAAGCACCTGACCAACTGCTCCCAACCCCACAACCCCCTTCCCCGGGTCATGAAAATTTTTTCTTCAATGGAAATGGTCCCTGTAACGAAATCCCCTATTTACAGACTATACGAACAAGCCTGTTAGGTTATTTGGAGAATTACAGCGAGATTCCGTGGAAATAACAATAAATGCGAAAGTGGCCGACCCTAGATAGCTATAGTATGGAACTTGCAGTTGGCTGCAAACACACGAACGGCCGGTGAAAGTCAAACTTCGGTCGACGATTATGAGAGCTGTGTTCGTGGGATCTGAGCGCTATTCGCCTAGAATATGCCCTCAGATCCAAGCTATCTGGGGATATGTGGAACTTAAAGTTTATGTTGTGTAAAAAGAAAGTTATATATTTTTATTCTGTTTTGCTAAATAAGAAAAGCCATGCTTCTTTCTTCCTGGAGATAATCTATTTGCCTAGAATATGCCCTCAGTTCCAAGCTATCTGGGGATATGTGGAACTTAAAGTTTATGTTGTGTAAAAAGAAAGTTATATATTTTTATTCTGTTTTGCTAAATAAGAAAAACCATGCTTCTTTCTTCCTGGAGATAATTAAGGCTCTCTTTGCTACCTTAAGTTAATTATCTCCAGGATGGAAAAGAGGGAGTGATTTATGTAAAAGGGGAGTGCTTATGCTATAGCCACTGTGATTGGCTACTGTGTTACTTTTGTCCCAGTCTTCCATCTGGTCCCCTAGGGGAGTGTCCACCAGGTGGAAGACCTGCATAAATACCGGGCAGGTAGCCCACAGTAAATCAGATCGTTTTACCCCTTCATGAAGTCTCGACTCATGTTTGGGGGATTGGGAGCTATAATCACTTCGTTTCAGTTGGATTTCGGGAGAAGCTGCAAGGATAATCGCTGCACGA